CAGTCCCGACCTAGCACCGAGTGATTTTCACTTGTTCCCGAAGATGAAGAACTGGCTAGCGACACAGCGTTTTGACGACGACGACGAGCTCCGGGCATGCGTCACTCAGTGGCTGAGATCGCAGGCGGCAGATTTCTATGACGAAGGAATTTCGAAGCTTGTCCACCGCTACGATAAGTGCCTTAATTTGTTTGGTGACTATGTAGAGAAGTAGCATTTTAGTCACTCTTTCAGATGTATATAATAAAATATTTTTCCTGTACCTAGTTTTTGTTTTATTACAAAACGTTCCCTAGTTTCTGAATAGCCCTCGTACTATATGTTTTTTGTTGTTCATCCATTTGATATATTAGGATCCCAATCAGTGGCGTAGCCAGGATTTTTAAATGGGGGGGCTAACTACTTTTTTAGATAAGTAAGGTAAGAGAGGATATGAGAATTCAGCCTTAACCCCCCCACCCCTCACCATCTACCACCAAGTTTCTAAACGTAATTCAAGCATTTTAGTATAGTTTTAAAAATATTTATTAATATATAATTTATAATAATAATAATAATAATTTTGGTTTCAGGGTTCAGTCACTTGCTCCACTCTGACAGCTGCATCCTCTTAGGCGAATTTCCGGCAAATTCAGTTATTATTTCACTTTCATGGAATTGCTCTTTTTTATTTATATTAGCCATAGCTAACCCATTCAGTCTGTTTTCCGACATGGTGCTTCTTAAAAAAATTTTTAAGCGATTAAGTGCTGAAAACGTTCTTGCCGGAGTGAAAGAGGTAACTGGTAACGTGGCGAATAATTGTAAAAGTATTTTAATGTTAGGTCAAAGATTGGTGTGATGAGAGAGTGAATCAAGAGCAGAATTCGGTTTTGGAATAGTATTTTGACTCCATTGTTGCCTCCATATGAACAGGTCAGACCTGATTGTAGATGAGGTATCATCATGGAGATCTTGGACATATATTTTAGCAGTTTTTATAATATTTTTATCGTCATACATATTTAAATTGGCCGGAATAAGTCCTTCAAGTGGCATAACATTAATAAGCCTTTGATTAAAACGAGCATCCATTGATTCTATTAAATAGTCAAGATACATTATATATATAAATACGGCCCATGGAGGGGGCTATAGCCTCCTTAGCTCCCCCTTGGCTACGCCATTGATCCCAATCATACAAGGGAGGCATGTTATAATTAGTGTATAAGTACATATTTTCAGTTGAAACATTCATGGCGGAACGTAATGGGGACTTTAATAAATTACTAATACTGTAGTTTTAATCTCTTGATATTAATAGATAAATATTTACCATAAATATTTTAATAATAATTTCTAATAATTCCAGAAAACAAAATAATATCAAATGCTACCTATGTTACAAACTCATAGACCTATAGAATTAATCATTAAAAATTCAAATCATATTATTTTTTTTATGAACTGCACAACATTTAAATAAGAACTGCACATTATGTGCACAACTGTACATTAGCGCAAGCTCTGTCAAAAAGTAGATATTCTAGATCAAATAGATCATATTATGAATATTTTTGCCAATTTTAAAAATAAACGACTTGAATTAGTGTTGAAAAAATTGTTGTTTTCTTTTTGTTATATGATTTTGTAAAATTATAACTTGCCCTCCCCCCTAACCCATGATCTGGAGCTGCCCCCGCAGATATATAGTCATGAGCAGACTGGAAAAATATTTCAGTGCGAAAAAATGGTAAATAGACCGGTGCACAATCGTTGTTAATGAAGTTGAATAACGGACAAATTTACGGAGCAGTCCAGTACATTTGGTAGACTTCCGAATTCCACCTTTGCATACAGTGTGTAATATAATTTAAGGTATTTTCTTATAATACTTTCAAGTGAAAAAGTGCTTGGAATGAGACCTTTCATGACAAGGAATAGGGATCTTCTATTATTATATTAAATTAAAAAAAAAGCTCCTGTTAATTGTTTTCATTGGGACGGGAGAAGGAACGATGAGGCATCCTTTTTACAATATAATTCTGATTAATAATTAAAATAAACATTTTTTATATGAATTCGAATTAAAAATATTGTTTAAAGGATTTAAGGATAAATAATTAATTTCCATAATTAATTCGATTAACGATCTGATTACAAAAAATTTTGTTTATGGCTTTAGAATTTATTTTATCAAATAGAAATAGAAGGGAAATAATATTCAACAGGTGGTCCGCGGAATATTATGAGTGAATACCATTTTTGTACTTCCTTTGATTTGTAATTAATTACACATCTAAATATATATGATTACAATAAATGTTAGATAGGTAGTACGTAATAATTTTACAATTGATATTCAGAGATCAATATTGTTTTATTATATTGGTATTTTATTCATTTATTTTTTGCTGCGAACCATGGTCCTAATTTTTTTTATGTAATTTAATGTATTTTTCTTTTATGAGTTTCGCAACATTTTTTTACAAATTTTATTTTATTTTCAATATTTTTTTCTTCATTAATGTATTACTTTTTTTCATTGCTGTTTATTTTTAAATTAGTCTCCACTTGAATTTCCATCAATACATTGATAATATTTTGATTATTTGGATATTATTTATAAAATTGTAGATTGTAATTTTACAAAACCATCGTCAACTTCATTAGAAGGTAAAATACTTAAGCCAAAAAAATATTGAAGCCAATTTCCGGTTTTTGTTTGCTTAGTGTAATGTTTCAAGAAATGTTTGTTGCTATTTTAAGAAACCAACTTAAGTGCAAGTGAAATCGGCCAATTATTAGAAAATCAGGGAAAACATTTTTAATCGATGTATGAGCTGATTTTTAAAAATTCAATTGTAGAAATTTAACTTTTGATTTTTGAACTAGAAGTTAAAGACATAAATTCTTAACTGTGGTCCAAAATGTTGAATATATCTTAGTAGATTTTGATTTTAAAAGAGAATAAATTACCGATACATAAAATTCATTTTTTCAAACATACATAATTGTTTGTAAGAAAAATGTTGGTGCTAACGAAAATGTATTATCCTCAAATACGATTATTTATTAATACGATTTGATTCAGTGAGTAATTTTAAATTATAAATACATGTAAAAATTGGAATAATATCAGTTGTTTCCATGTAACAAAACTGTTCTCCATTACTATATTATAATTTGATACTATAGGTACATTTGTTTCATAGATTATACAATTACACGAATAAGTATTCAAATATGATGTTCATACACGAGAGATCAATGCACAACGATCCACACACATAATTATCAATCGACGAACACCGAACATATTAAATTTATAAGTTGTACTCGGTGTATACTAGTTGCGGTCACCCAACAAAAAGGTTACATACTAGTTGCGGTCACTTAAAATATATATATAGTATATATGGTATATACCATGCTATTTTATTTACAAAAATGTTTCAACATTTTCCTTTCCATTTTATAAACAGACTTAGGACTGTCTACGCTATTTTTTTTGTGTAGGTTTGAAATCACTGAAGTAATTGTGAAAAGTCACGCGGCAACTTCGGGTGAACATTCATTCTTGCAGTGTGTTTATTTTTTCTAATCAATGTAATACCATTTGACCCCAGTACACTGTGTACTGTACTTGACATCTAAGAATAAAAAATTTTGGAAGGACGCTCGCTCAACTGCTCCACTGCTTTACGTTTAACACTGTAACTAATCTTTTGCCGCACCATTGATTGGTGATCATCTAGTTCGTGATTATACTACTATAGCAGGAGCATATACAAGGGGCGATGTGGGGATCAGACCCCCCCCCATAGATATTTTAAAAATTGTATAAAATAGTATTCTTAATGTAAGGAAACAAAAAAATATTTCAAGGATTTATTGTAAATTATTATTTTGACACATTCAATATATATATATATATATATATATATATATATATATATATATATATATTTCATAATTTATTATTTTGAATGTAATGTGCAAGTCCTTTGGTTTAGGAATTTTTCTTCCATAATAATTTGTTTGCAATTGATCCCTCCCACACAAAAGTTATATGTATGCTACTGTACAATTGTATTTATTTTATTTACAAACTTTACAGATAAGTAATAGGTATATGACCGCAACTGTTATATGTCCTTACCTCAAAAATCGTATCTGATCGCAACTCGGATGCAGCCGTTGTACTTGCGTATGACAGAAAAATATTTATAGCTAAATATATTTGATGCACTAATTTCCAATTATTAGGACATGATCTACGGACGATTACTTATTATATTATCAAGCCGACTTCACATTAAAACTAACTAATATACTCAATGCCGAATTAAAAATTTGTAGGCCCCTAGGCAATTAAAATTTTGGGTCCCACAAAATTATTTTTTACGTACATCTTTAACAATACTATCGAATAATTAAAATTAACAGCTTTAAAAATAACCAACTATTATTAATAAATAAAATCATGTTAATTACATTTTTATATTCGCAAGAAAAATTAATTAATTATTATATTATTTATATTTTTTTCGAAATAATTTAATTATTACTACTGCATAAAACACTTAAAAATTAATATATATTATATTTCATAGTGACTTTTGTCCCGTAAAATCATACATAGAGTACAATTATTATTAAATAGAAAAAAAATATAGTTTTCCGTTTTCACGGGGCCCCTTAAATGAGCGAGGCCCTAAGGGGGGCGTCTTCTGCCTAATGGGTAATCCGGCACTGAATATACTGCAGACTATCGGTATCATAATGTTTATTTGTTCTACAATTTGCTAGTACTAAAATGTAAAAGGTAGGTAAAGGACAAAGGAGGTATATATTTTTATAAATAGAAAATAAAAACGTATACATTTATCAAAATAAATATTAAAATATTCACTGCAGTTCTAGGTATTATCCAAAATTTCTGTCACAAATTATTGAAAGTAAATAATTTACACTGCTTCGTTATACAATTTTCATAGAAAATAAATATCAAACTATTATTTACATAGAAAAATCATTTTGAGAATTCGTATCATTCCAAAAACAAGTTCACCACGAGGAAATTATGCAGTAAACTTTTGACAAAGTTAAAATTAATAGAATACCGACACATGTATACCAAGTTTGTAATAATACTCAGTAATATTTCAGTTTTTTTATCTCTCGCGAGTTCAGAAGGTGGCTTTGACTTTCTCGAGCCTGTTGCATATTTGATTGACATCACGTCCCATTTCTTCACATTTTGAAGAACATTCTCCAATCCAGCTTGCCTCACCACTTCTATGCGACTAAAATAAAATTACATCACAATAAATAAAATACAATATTCAAAGATATTTTCCCATCAACTTACTTCTTCAAGATCACGTTTCCAAATATTACGACAGTGACCATCACATATAGGACAAGGCCTCTCGAGGGAGTATCCCCCGCATTCAAAACAATCAAGTGATACGTGATGTTGCTCCCAGTTGACTCCACAACTATACAATCAAATTTATGATAATTTATCAGCCGTTTGTTAAAAATTATAAAAATTGCTTTATACCTTTTAACACTAATATTTTTATAGCCATGTAAATATATTAATAATTAATAAATAATGAAGTTTAAAAAAAAATTTAAAAAAATTATAATGAAACTAAAAACCAGTTTTTTCTATGAACTGTAATTGAGTACAATTTTTCAATTATATAGCAACGATTTTTTAAGTAAATTATTTTTATTCCTTATTATCAGGACTTAAAACCGTTCCTAAAAAGTAGGTAATCGACTCCGGTAGGAGCCGAACATTTTTTAAAACCGGTAACCGGTTATCGTTTAATTTTGATATTATGGTAATCGGTAACCGTTTCTTTAAGGTTATTTCAAAAACTATAATAACCGTTAATTGTTCAAAAGCCGATAATAAGGTTTTTTGATAATCAGTTATATGATGGTTATATACTCGTATATAATACTCACAACAGATAAGTAATACTCGCGGCCATTAATTGCTATTTGGGGCTAATTAATTATAAAAATTCTTTGAAAATAGCTGGAAAATTAAATTCTATAAACTATAATAGTATAATGTAATCATGACATAATTCAAGTATTAATACTGCGAAAAAACAGTTAATTATTTTGGTTGGGAGTAGGTTTTGGTTATAAAAACGGGATTGAAAATACGAGGTAATCGCTTTGATGTTAATATTTAGATATTTACCTTGATTATCGATAACCAATAACCGCTTCCAGCATTCCAAAACTAAAAGCGGTTACCGGTTTTCGGTTCTCAAATTTACGCTTTTTACCGGTTTTCGTTACAAACCGGTTACCGATTTTAAGCCCGACTTAATATATATCAATATGTTATTGTTGTCATTAATAAATACCACTGTACTATTATTTATAGTTATATTATTAATTCACTTTGAATAGGAATACGAGCAATTTTTAAAAGGTCAAGCTATTAAAAGATTCCTCCTCCATACTTCCGCGTATGCGAATTATACAAATATTATATTATATGCTATTTATTATATTATACTCATTATGCCAATTAAAAAAAATATATATAATAAATAATTAGTTCACATTTAATTAATAATTGAGCCAGAAAATTATAATTTTACAAACCGGAAACAATACTTAAAAACTTCTTTAAGCTCTTCAAGAGTAACTGCTGGTTCGATATCACCGACTAGATCCATATTATCGAACATTTTGTCGTTGATGGTCCTCAGGTTTTGATTGTTTATGGAATGTACACTAGTCAATGACATATTGTTCTTAGGATTTTCTTCTGAAACAAACATGAAAAAATATATAGATATAGCTTTAGTTTTATATTCAGTGGAACAACTATAGTAAGCTTATAAATAATATACAGTAAAATCTCTCTATAATGGGTCCTCTATTAGACGGAATCCTCCTTATTACAGAAAATTCCAATATTAACAGTTCAAATAATATATGAAATTGCCCTCTTTAAGAAAATTGAAACGGGACAATTTTCGTTAATTTTTTTTAAAATAATTTAAACCTCAATCTCATATTTAGAAAAATTACAAAAGTAAAACGAAGTTACACAAGAATGTTCTAAACTTAGAGAGCACTTACGTCAAGGGCATCATTTAGAGACGGGAGCAGAATATGAAAAATGCTCCACTTTAAGAAATTTTAAAAACTCGGCAATTCTTTGTCCGATGATCAAATGCTAAAAATCAGTAAATAGTAAGTACATTTTTATTTAATATTTTGTACTCAGAAATCAGATAATATTCTCTTTTAAATACACGTTTACGGTTTATTAAAAGTTGGGAAACACTTTATTTTTGGTATATTATTTATTTCTATGTATGTGATTTTTATAAAACCGTTTTCTTGATATATATACCATAAAAATTAAGCTCATAATTTATAAAAAATTGTTAAAATCGTTAATATTCACCTCAAACTACAGAACATTATATTTGAGATACAATTTTATGTTTGTATAAATAAGTTCTGTATAGTATTAAATATACAAATAATAAAATTGTAAGTATTTATTTAATTAGATTTATTATTATTATTCTATTAAACCTATTGATAGGTAACTTACAGCCTATAGGATAAGTAAATTAATTAATGTTTTACTATCTTTAATGTTATTATTTATTTGGGTAAATTGAAACGTTTCATGTTCTTTATTTATCATCATGACATCATTATTCATTAATAATCCTTACATGTTTTGTTCCAAAAAAATATTTTATTGATATTCTATGGTTCATAAATATTAAATATTTAAATATATAGATAACCAACATTTTTTAAATATTATGAAGTCAGCAAATTTAAACACTTGCCCCACCCTTTCAAAAATTGAAATGACACCCCTGACATACGTGCTGCCTTGTTACAAAAAGCAGTCAAATATTACTAATTATTTTTTCTTAATTTTAAGTTATATCTAATGTAAGTCTCGTCGCGAACGTCGTCCGCAACAACGTCTGTAATATGTCTGCTTTATGTTATAACATATATCTATTATTAATGGTTCAATTTTTTTTCAATTTTTATACTGTCGTATGCAGGAAAAAAAACACATCTAGTGCTAATATATTACAATAAAAAAAAAAAAAAAAACCAAAAATCTTACACTTATTTAAATAAAGTCTTAATAATTAATTAATAAACTGCTAATTAAGAAAAAGTGCACACCACTAGAACGGTTATAAGCCGGCGCGCGGTAATTAGGCTATGATTATTATAGATGCGAATTCTGACGAAAATGTGTTTTGACGAGTTCTGACCAATTCGTTCAAACAAACACGTGTTTTCCAATGAGAGTGTTTACATTGGCAGTGACGATATCGTCAGAAACAGTTGAGCGTTCAAACAAGTTTGATTTTTTCGTGCGAACTGCGTCTATTTCGACGTGATTGAGATTAGCAAATTTGATATTTTACAATTATTATACAATATGTTAATATATTAATTTATTTGAATCATGGATTCCGATAAATTAATCAGTCTCGTATACGAGAACAGGTGTCTGTGGAACATGAGAAAAAAAATGACTACAACAGAGATATTTTTTCGTCTCTTCTAGAAAATAACTGGTTAACTTGCTCTGTTTTTCCACCATTTAACAATGATAACTTCATAACGGAATTTCAAGAACATAAATTCATCAAGTTCGTTCATTTTTGCTGGGTGGCAGAAACGTACTGTCAGAATATCAGAAAACCCTCACAGTGTAACCATCTTATGTTCTGACGAGGGTTTCGGACGTACTCGTCAGAACACATTTTCGTCAGAATTTGCATACATAGTAACCATAGCCTTAGTCAGCAACGCAATCAATACAGATAACAAAATGAAACAACAACAATCAACTAACTCCAACACTAAATCAAAAAAATCGATATCTGGGTCATCGAACACTCAAAATAATTTGCGTGAAACTCGCACATTAAGTACAGCAAGCGATGTATTTAATTCATCAATTGAAATGAAATTATTATCTTTAATGACGTTAATTATGTTACGCAAAAGCAAAAGAAAACTTCAAAACGTAATCTCTCTGTGACAAATACACATGAATCCCTGACATCATTGCTCAATACAAAAATTAAAGTAGAAGAACCACATAAACGCAAAGACATTTTACAGTGTCTTAACTGCCAAGACTACGGCCACTCAAAAAAATTTTGCTCATACACACCAAGATGCGTCCGCTGTGGAGAAAACTACCCATCCACCACTTGCAGTAAACCCAACACTTTGCCCGCCAAATGTGCTCTCTGCAAAGGTGACCACCCTTCAAATTATAAAGGCTGCCAAGTCTACAAGGAACTTCAAAACTTCCGTAAGCCCCCCTCAAAAAAACATTGTACTTATCTAAACAATAATAATATTAATAAGAACAACGATAGTCATACAAATAATATGAACAATAATAATTTTAACAAGAACGATAGTCATATAAACAATGTAAATAATAACTATTGTAAAGTTACCCAGGAGCAACCACTCAAAACAAACCTTTTCCCTAGTTCTTATGCTTAAGCAGCATCTAATCAAAATCCAATTTCAACAAATCAAACTAACGAAAACTCATTGGCAAACTTTTTAAACTATTTTAAAGCAATAATAAATCCCCTTTTATCTCTTTTCACTTCAGTGCTCAACCGTCTTCTCGCTCAAAATGATAAATAAATCTTTTACAGCACAGTCATTAACCATCCTCTTATGGAACGAAAATAGTCTAACCAACCACAAAAAAGAACTTATTACAACCTTAACTGAAAAATGAATTGACATCGCTCTGATATCTGAGACACATTTTACTCCTAATACAAAATTTTCAATCCCTGGATATAGTATATTTCCCTCTAACCACCCTGACAACATTTCTCATGCAAGTACCACGATCATTATTAAATCATCACTTAAATTTACTCCATGTCCTACAGTAAATGAAAACTAGATCCAAGCAGCAATAATAAACATTAAACTTAAACAATTACCAATATCTATAACAGCTATGTATTGTCCTCCTAAATATAAAATCTCACCATCCAATACAATGCCTTCTTCAACTCTCTAAATCAAAATTTCATTGTAGGTGACGACCTGAATGCAAAAAATCAAATTTGGGGCTGTCACTCGACAAACCCAAAACACTCCTTACTACAAGTAATAAATGAAAAACAATATACTATCCTTGCCCCCCCCCAAATCCAACCTACTGGCCAACATCACCACGTAAACGACCTGACATATTAGATATATTTATTACAAAAATTCCAACCAACTTAGACCACTTGATAAAAAATCTTCTTGACCAATGTTCAGATTACTCCCCAGTCTTCTTGTCTCTTAACACTCAACCTACTTTCTGATTTGACAGAGCAAGTCTTACAAACGGCATTATGAACTGGGACCATTTTCGTGAAAGTATCGACCAGAACATAAATCTAAACACCCGTTTAAAGACCTTAACGACATCGATGACGTTGTCCGAAAATTCTCCGATATCATTCAAACAGCAGCATGGAAATCATTATTTGTGCCTTCCAAACGTCAAACAAACTCCCTAACAGTTCCCGCTAACATTCGTGAGCTAATCACGCAAAAACGTCGTGCTAGGGCTCGATAGCAACACACTAGACTTCCTTCTGACAAAAATATTTACAACAATCTCACCTTTTTTCTTAAACACACCTTAAACAAACTTAGGAACGATTTCTTCAACGACTGGATATCGTCACTCACCACAAAGGACGGCTCCCTTTGGAGAGCCACATGAATTTGCCTTAAGAAAAGATCTCCACAATACCCACTAAAAAATATTAATGGAAATTGGTGTAAATCTAATCTGGAAAAAGCAGAAACCTTTCGATCTCATCTCTCGGATGTTTTCCAACCACATCAAAATATTGGCAATCAAAATTTCTCCGATCACATAGAAAGCTCACTTACATCTCCACTTCAGCTATACCTTGCCCCTAACCATTCACTTTAGGTGAAATCAAACACCTTATAAAATCTTTCTCCCTCAAAAAATCAACCGGTCTAGACTTAATCACCTCTGAAATGGCACGACAACTATCAAATAAAGCACTAATACATCTCAATCACATACTTAATTCTATCCTAAGACTCTCCTATTTCCTTCTTCACTAGAAAGTATCAGTTATAAACCTAATTCCGAAACCGGGTAAAACCTCCCGACATCCCATTGTCCTATCGTCCTATAAGCCTTCTACCATTCTTTGTGAAACTCGGCAAAAAATTAATACTTCAACATATATCCAAAATCATAAATGACAAAAAAGTAATAGCCAACACTCAGTTTGGGTTTCAAAATAAACATTCCACAATCCATCAAGCACACCGTCTAACCAACGTCATAGCATATTCATTTGAAAACAAACCTTACTGTTCTGCTGTCCTAGTGGATATTGCTCAAGCTTTTGACAAAGTTTGGCATACCGGTCTTCTATTTAAATTAAAAACACTTCTACCACCTCCTTACTTCTTATTTTTTAAATCATACTTAGAAAACCGCCATTTCGTCACCAAAGTAAGCTCTGAATTCTTCCACTTATCACTTATTTTAGCTGGAGTCCCCCAAAGTGCCATCTCATCCCCAATATTGTACAATATATATGCACCAAATCAACCAACACCCATCCACACATCCGTAGCCGAATTTGCAGATGATAAAATCTTCTTCACTTCTCATAAAGATTCATATAGTGCCGGTCTATTTCTACAAAATCATCTCAAAGACCTAGGTCTATGGTACTCAAAGTGGAAAATTAAGGTTAACAATGAAAATAATTCCCATATAACTTTTACCCTAAAAAAAGGCTTCATCCCCCCTATCTTACTTTTTAACCAATTTATACCACCAGATTTCAATGTCCGTTATTTAAGATTGACACTTGATAAACGCCTAACCTGGGCAAAACATGTCAAACAAAAAGGGCAGTTGTTGAACATTAGGTGAAAAGCTCTCTACCCCCTAAAAGAAAAAAGCTCCAAATTCTCCTTAAAAAATAAACTTCTATTGTATAAATCTCTCCTAAAACTAATTTGCTCCTACGGGATTCAACTATGGGGCGTCACTAAAAAATCAAATATTTATAAAATAGAATCATTCCAATCCACTACATTACAAATCATTAATAAAGCTCCCTTCTATGTCACAAAATACATTACATAAAGATTTAAACGTACCAACAATTACTGAAACAGCCACTTCATTATACAAACTCTTTCGTGCACGCCTTGCAAACCATCCAAATCCCCTAATACTAGCCCTAAATTCAAATACCAATCCAGGAAACCCATCGAGAAGGCTAAAAAGAAACTGGTGTCGGGACTCTACCTAAAATATATAGCAAAATAAAATAAATAAAAACCAAGTCAAAGTGTTACTACTGGGTAATTACTTTAATCACATTTTTCATGTCATTATACAATTAAAGCAAACATGCTCATTGTAAAAATAAATTTACAGATTGTACGTATTCCAATAAAAATAAAAATACCTAATATGTTTTCTTTTAGTTCATAGTTTTAATTTTTAAATAAATATGTATTATACACAAAACACATTTAAATATTAATTCATATATTATAATCTTCAAATATAAATTTACGTTTTACGAAATATTTACTTAAAATATACTCATATATTATATAATTTTTTTAACACATTTTTACATTTTTTAAATTTCCATTTTTTTCTACCTCTCTATAAGATATGAGATAAATTAATATATTAAAAAATAAATATCTTTAAATAATAGGTAACTTAATTTATGTAATTATTAAAAATAAAGTCCAGGTACTTTAAGACTGTAGAAAATATTTCTTATTTGTACTCGTATATAGATTGTATAACAATTTGGCATTTGTCAATGTTGTATTATTTTATTTTATTATATTATTGTTATACAGGCGCACCCTTTTTTAGTAGACATAATTTGTAAACATAATTACAATTAATTCGTACAAAATTACTACTATTAATATTCACAGTAATAATTAAAACTTAAAAATAGGACACAACAGTATTAATATATAACTATATTAAAGGGGGGAGATCCAAATTAGCTGTACAGAACAATCTACAAATAGGTTCGTTGAACAAATAATTTATGGGTGTATGAATATGAAATGGAATGTTTAAACGGGTTTGGTGAAGAAGTACTTTAAAATTAATAAGTGATAAAAGAGTTACTGAGTAAATCGCATTAGACAATAACTCAGTAATCCATTAATATATTTCAGGTTAGCATTATGACGGCGATCGGCCAATGGGGAAGTTTAAGCTTGCTTGCAACAGGTGAGTAGTCGTGTTCTGTGTGAGGATACCTTACGGTGTATCCAGAAAAACTAAGAAACTTACGCTGGGCCCTTTTCAGTTTATTAGAGTTTCCCAAGTTATGAGGATTTCAGATCATGGAGTTATATTCTAAAATTGGGTGTACCATATCACAGTAGGTACAATGTTTTAATTGATTTTTGAGACTGAAACTCTTTTGAAAGTCTCATTATAAAACCTAAAGTTTTTTTTTTTTTTTTTGTACAGCATTTAGTGTTAATATGTGTCTTAAGCTTAAGAAACTTTTTAGTTCAAAACCAAGATAATTAGTTTCATCATAAATCCGAGATAAGATACATCAACTTAAATTATACGTCAGGAAAACACACGGGAGAGGCATATCTTGCGAATGCCATTATATTATATTTATTAATATTGAGGGACAAGTCCATAGACATGAACCATACTTTAAGAATATTTTAATCATCTCACTTTTTATGACAATCACAAGAAGAACTGATTTTCAGATATACTCGTATTTTTATATCGTCCACCCGCAAAACAGAGAACCTTACAATAATTTAGAATACGACCTATACTATAAATAAACAAGGAAAATAACAATGGTGATAGCCACTCCAGATGGGATAAGGAAACAAAAAAAACTTAATTCCACACACTTTTAATATCAATCAATTAAAAAGGAATTGAATCAAGATAAAAATGGTTCACTGAAGCCACTTGCTTCAAGTATGTTTACTAATATTTAGTGATTAACACAATCGAATGCTTTGAAGAGATTCCAGTATATGACAACTATTTGTAAGCGTTCTTCAAAGTATTGTAATTTAGATTACACATTAATATACACATATACCTAATACATTATATTATAAATCATAAATATTTGAAACAAGAAACTAAAGTGCATAAGTAATTACTATTAATGTGTGTACATTTTATCCTTACCATTTAAACCGGAAAGCATAATCCTGATAAACTAGTCTGTATGACCTTCGTATTATTTTATTATAAAACCACTACAACATTTAAATTCTTCGACACATTTGTAGAATTAATATAGTTTAAATTTGTATTATATGAAAATTGATTTGAAGAATTTATTATTTTCGTTAAAATCGAAATTTTTTAGTATAAATCAACATTTAATTCATTAATTTTATGTTAACATGTAAAAATATAATGACGAAACTTTTTCAATATTATCTTTTATAAAAAATGAAGTGCATTCAAATAAGACAGCCGATATGACAGTATAATAAATAATTATAATTTGCAAGTGAAAATGAAATCAACTACCTACTTAAAAAACATAGACTGAATAATTTCAAGGTAAATTGGTTAAAAAAAAGTCATTCGAAGTTTTCAAAAACATTAAAATATTATAAAATTCTTTCGTAAAAATTTATAATTGTCTGGTGTAAGATAGTAAATTAAGTATTGAAATAATATTTATTGTATCAAATCGCTAACAATTAGAATTTATCGTGAGTTATAAAAAATATTAATAATCTCGACCTTACAAAACATAAATATTTGAGTCTCAAATTGTTTCATGTTCTCAAGAATTATTTAAATTACGACATTTCATTTTTAATTAGTTCTATTCGCATTTCGGGTTGTCGTTGAGATAATCCTAATTAAATACATTTAATTACATATTCTTTACATAGTTTACAATTTATAATGTTTTATTAATTGTATGCACAACGAATATTTAATTCAATAAGTAATATAATAAAACTTGTCACAAGTAAAAATGTTTATGCTTATAAATAAATGATCGTTAAATTTTAAATTACCAGTATGGACATGAATGTACTTAATATTTTTATTTTTAAATGTTTTATACATTTTTAATAAAACTAGGAAATTTGTTTGATGACATTTCATTTCCTGAAGCAACTATAATTGTTTTAATTATTTACGACCTTGTCAACTTTTTTATAACATACCTTAGAGCATAGTATACAAACCAACTCAACAATAATAACACTCTAACGTTTCCTCATTTCTAAAAGTAAATGGGAATGCTACGGTTGTTTTCGTTTTGTTAAATGAAAAATTTAACAAGTGAGAAAAAACGTCAATAAGTGTTTGATTTATTGTATAACTTGGCGTTGAAATTACTTAAAATAAATTTCTTAGAATTTGAGTTAAATATTTAAGAACATGCGACAGAGGAAAAAACACGAGAAAATAAAAATTTATACTTTAATCATGATTTTTTAAGTCAACCTTGAAAATACATTAGATGGCCGATGATCAACAATAAAATCAAAGCATGTGTTTTCTTGAAATTCGAAAATTGTATTATTGTTATTGGGTTTTACCCTGGGTGTTGTTTATAAAAAAATTATACTAATGTAACAAGGTCGATTTTATTGTAGATATTTTGTATTGCTAAGGTGTACCTATAATGCGATTATCATCTCTTCTGTGGTATTACACCAGGTTACAACGCAGTTTACAATGTGTAATATTTTTAAAATTATAAGAAGTTTTTACCTTATATTACTGAAAAATTAAAATATATCAAACATAGTTAATATTTTTTAAATTTATTTAAGTGTAACAATGAAACTAACAATTTTACCAAAATAGCACGTTCTTTAAGATACATCGTATAAATCTATTATAAATTGAATTTTTCGTTCAAAAATTAGTAGTCTCAGAAAATAGTTAAGTAAAAACAATATGCAGTTTTAAAAGAAAACAAATTCCGTATAAACTTAATTCCAACTTTGCGTAGTGAAAAGCCTAACAAGGAAAACATTGTTAGACCATAATATAGAAACATTGTCTGATATATTGTTGCAATTACTATGTTATTATAATGTAAATTATAATGAAAAGATTCGAACTCGTTAAATGAACATTTTACCTATTCATCAGTAAAACATATAATAAATAATAATAAAAAATAACAAAAATAAATTTTTGGGAGACGACTCAACCAATCTCCTAGTGGTGTTAATAAAATGTGGCTATAATTCCTACGTCTATCTCATAAGCCCGGGCCGCAAATCGTATGTCTGATTCATAAGCACGGGCCATACAACTCGTACTCAATTTAGGGATAGGGCCGCAACTCAACACCTCCGGTTAATACATATGGGTGATTGTAATTTCCTCCCAGAAAAATATAAAGGTACAAAAATAAATTTTAATTTTAAACATCCTTATATTTGTATATTTTTAGACAAATTTAAGCAAATTCAATTGGAAAATGACATAAAAATAAATAGTATAAATGAACCATATAAATACAGAAATTCAAAATAAAAAATAAAAATAGTTATATATTCGTGGAAAATATAATTAGAAAATATAAAAATAATGAAATACCTATTTATTATGTAGAAAACATGGCTCATTTTGGAGATTTTGAAAAAAAAATATTCTTTGGTTTTTCCGGACGGAATTTACGTGTACCCATACATATAAATGATTAACACTTTATTCTGCTAAAAACTCGTTTGTTCGATATTTCCTTATGATTTCTGGTTTATGTCGTTATACTCATCTTAATACTGTTATTAAACTAAATATCTGGTTTTTTTTATAAACGTGGTAAGAATTTTAAGTGTATTAAAGTTAGTACGCAATTTTCAATCTTGTTCTGTGGAATACCCATATCCGGGAGTTATGGCCTTCAGGACTATAACCTTCTAAATACATAGCAATATTATCATAGAATATTTATACAAACTACATGATTTCATCGACAAATACCATTAGATTGACGACCTTTTAATGTACGTCAAATGAAATTTTATTTTTCAGAACATTTTCGTTTATTTCATAATATATTAGTGTCAATTATATCAACAATTATTTGAATACTTTTAAGTAAATTGAGAATAAAATAAGGAATTATTGCTTTCCAATATATAATTAAGTTTAAATATTATTTATTTACAGTAGAACCCCTCTAATCCGTCACCTTCGTGACTTGGGGTGTGGTGAGAACGCGAAAAAGGTTGGATTATCAGAATATAAAAAAACATTTTAAGACAAAATGTTACCAAATTTATTTATTAAATTATTTTAAATATTATTTTTATTTACATACATATATTAAATTAAATAAGTAATTAAATAATGAAATAAATAAAAAATAGAAAATATTAAACGGACAATTAATTTTATAAATATATCTAGCCACATACTATAAATTGGAAAATCTATATTCATATCGATATGGTCGGATCAAACGCAGTGGCGGACGAGAGGGGTTCTACAGTACAATAATTTTTTTTTATAATATAATTTAATTTACAATCGTACATGAAAATATTAAACGAAATTATTCATTGTTATCTATTGTATGTGTTGTAAATATTTCCTATATGAGATTTATAAATGTAATGCATTTTCATTATTTCAAAAGAAAACTTCTGATGACACGGTTTTACGAGTACAATTTAAAATCAAACTTAATAGATTGCTCATAAGATACACATTGTTAGGTAAATACTGAACTCAATACAACTAACTTAGAAAAGTGAATTCTTCAAAGGTAACGTCATATTTGATGAGTATTACTGATGTTTGAAGTGACATTAGGTAAAAAACATTCTTCGATAGTTTATGAAATCAATGTCAATGTTTCATTACATGTAGCATGTTTGTTTGAACAGTGTAAATATAATATTGTTAAAGTGTATTCATTCTATACGATCCATCAATACGTGGACACGGTAATATTATTAACGAAAGATATTTTCACTACTATGATTTCATTATTTTGTCCTTGATAAATATAAATATTTCAAGAATGCTCAAAAAAAAAAAATTAATTTTTTAAATTAATTTTCTTAATTAATTCTATAACACGATCTACATATTAAATAGCATCAAGTTACTTTAGTATACTAATAAATTATATTTATTACAATTATTCAATACACGCATTACAATACATTAAACATTGGTTGATTGAAATTAAATGTTTGCTGGTAGCTGTACAAATTACAGGCATCATATTTTAACATTCTTTGATCTGTTGAGAATAAATTCGATTAACTGATGAAATTTCTTATGGTGTAACTGCTGTCTAGGTTAGTTCTGTTTAGCAATATGACAATGAAATTAATGTGATAGCTACACACGATGCACGTGTGTACATATTACACAGTTGTTAATAAATTAACAGTATTCAAAATTTCAATATTCTTGTTTTTTTTTTTAATCTCAATACCTATGCTAAAATTTAAATTTAAATTTAGTTACATTTAATGTAACTGTTCTTAAAATTATTACAAAAACCAAAAATTAAATGATACATCAAGTATATGTTCAGAGATGACCAACAAAGAAGTGATAAATTATAACAAAAAAAAAAAAAAAAAACATATTACGAGGAGTTATACATAGAATGTGTAGGTTGAAATATTTTGAATTTCGTAGTATTAAGCAGATAAAGAATATATACAAATGTCACATGCGTAATATAATAATGTATAATAATAAAATAAATATAATATAATTGTAATACTAGTCGCTAGACTTGAAACAAATTATATTTTAGATAAAGATATATCAATAAATATATTTTTATTGATGCATTTAGATAAGTTTATTTATTGGCACATAAGATTAAAATTAAATCAACTATAAATAATTGGAAATGTATACTTGCAGTGCCGGATTAAACATTTGTGAGCCCCTGGGCAATTAAAATGTTGGGTCCTACAAAATTATTTTTTACATATATCTTTAAAACTACTATCCAATAATTAATGCTATTTATTTTAATTATTGAATTACCAAGTATCATTAATAAATAAAATCATATTTATTACATTTTTTTATTTGCAAGAAAAATGAATTAATAATTTTATTATTTCTATTTTTTTTTAATGATTCTTAATGAACTATAAAAAAACTTAAAATAAATTGTAATTCTTAGTTAAAAAAAACATTTAATTTTTAAATATTAACTCTTCTTAATTTTTTTCACAGTAAATTTTTCGAGAATATCTTTGGAGTCTATTTTTTGTAAAATGTAATTTTTGTAGTCATAATGGCAAGTGAATTTATACGTATTATTAACTAAAAAAAATTTATAGTTTTCCGTTTTCACAGGACCCCTTAAATGAGTAAGGCCCTAAAGCAGGCGCCTACTTCGCTCAATGGGTGATCCAGCACTGTATACATGGCTGTACAATATTTAACAAAATTATTATTTATTTTTCAGAGCGAAGATAAATAAATATTTATATTTACTTCGAAATCACTGGAAGGTCATTCATGTTTATGTTTGCCCTATAGCGTTAACAACCTCGAAACATTAGATGTTTTTTTATAGAATGACCTCTATATTACCAACAAGTACTTAAAAAATAGGGAGGGAATATGACAACTATAAACTTCCCTTTGCTAAATTAATAAACTGTACGACGACCAAGGTCTTAGTATTATACATCTGTATTATTGGTAATACGATAGGTAACTAGTTACTTACATAATAACAGTTGAAATCATTTTTTATCGAACTATAATCATCAATATTTTAACTTCTATTGAGATAATATTATATCGACAAAAAATTATGATTCAAATACCACCATTCTAATTGTCACCAAATATACCAAATGATTGTTTGCACCAGTATTTAACGAAACATAATACTTAGGTAAGGCGTATCCGGTTGAATATGAACAGTATGGAATTCGGTATTATTGATTTGATAAGTATAATAAACAAAAAACGCTATGGAGACTTTATAAGCGTTATTCATGTAACATACGTTTTAATGTTTGTCTAAAATCTGATGAATATTAATATTATTTAGTTAAACTGTTTTTTTTTTCGTTGTTGATCGTTCTAGATAAGAATATATATACCAACAGGCAACGGGAAGAAATTAAATCATGATTTATAGTACATGTATACATGGTACAAAATATAAGATGTATTACAGTATTCAAGATACTCAATAAGTAGATATTAACGATGTATACATTTTAATGAACAATTACTCTCGTAAATATGATAAAATAACAAATACATAATGCTAGTACAATTTTATAGTGATAAGACATACCTCATACACAATCCGTTTAAATTAATATTAAAACAGAGGTTTATACAGTATCATTTTTTTCAAGAAACGCTATCGTGTCAATATAATTGTATTATTATAATTAAATAATTATATTATACGTATATATAAGCGTCTATAGTTATGCAGTAAATAAAGGTAGTACATATTTATATAGATTATATATTATAATATACTCACGTTTAATTCCGAAACGAAAACCACCGTTCGAAATATTAGTTTGAGTATAATAGTTCGTTTTTTTATATTCTGCCGCTGAGATAAGTCAATCGATGTGTGCGCAACGTGGACCAACGAGTCTCGTTAGAAAATTCTCGTGAAGCGAAATATTTTGCAATAGGATTGTTATGAACGAAGACGACGATGATCGCGGGGTTTAATATATTTGAGCGATATGTAACCGACTAAATTCACGACGTATACGATGAAATCAAAATAATTGAAAAACCAAAAAGGTACGTGAAGAAAGACCGACAGGAGTGTTGAAAAACGATCGGTCATACGATATTCAAACACTCTTTTTCGGATCTACAAGAAATCGGACGATAGCGTCTGCGGACGGCCACGAGTATACTGTAATGCGGTTACTGTTGCCACGAACTGCTGTTGGCAGATCTGCCAAATTATAACGTCATGCCACGGAGATACTGAGCCGCCACGGAGCAAAGCGCATGCGCGACACTAGCGTTTCCCAACCGTTTAACCGTTGCCGCCGTCGATAATCAAGCTCCGACGGGAGGAGGGCGCCTTCTGATCGACGCGACGTGTCGATTCCAAGAAATTCCACCGCGTTTTATTGTGAAGGAAGAATCCATCAAATATAAATTCTATGCATTTATCGTAATAGCCAATAGATAAGTATTACGAAGTCGGATCAGGTTGGTTGAGGGTTGACCGACTCTTGAAGATAACAACAATAATAATCAGTGGCGTATTTTCAAATATTATAAAAAATATATATAATACAATAATAAAACAATATATATATATATATATATATTTAATATTTGTATATTTTTTGTATACAATTATTACAATCACGTAATATAAATGAATGTTCTCTTTCTCTGTACTTTCATAGTAAGTAATTTATTACTCCAATCTTTTTATTTTTCTAGGGTGGTCGAGACCCGAGAACCTCCTCTCCCTCCCGAAAATATGCCATTTATCATAATAACAGTTAATATCTAATAATAATCTTACCTAATACCCTATAATAATAATATTAATACAGATTAATATTTAATAATAATTAAAATGCTCGAAACATACACGAATCTGCAGGCATTATAAACATTCATGCGTATAATAATCACACACCTCCGGACAATGAATAACCCGATAAATAAACGAGCTCTGCGTAACCGTTTTTATATCATTAATATGTTCGTACACGTTTTGGCGAATCATCGCACGTAAAATCGTAACGTTATGTTGTCCTTCAAGTCAATTAAACACTTGTAGTAGAATAATATTGGAATAATTAATTGTATAATATCTAGATAGATCAGTGATGTATTTGTGGGGAGGGGCAATAGGGTCCTTTGCCACACCCAAGATTTCTTTTTTTACTTTTTTGCGGAAGTAATTTTTAATTGGATTGGCTTTGTTAAGTATTCGTAGGCACTGAGACATTGAAATAGATGAGGTTAATGGTTTTTTTTGCTGCCACGAAAAAAAGGAATATATTCCAATTGCACTAAATAAATAAGTAAATAATTATAGCGACGACCCATAACAAGCGATAGATATTCGCCAGAACATTCTAGAATCAATTATCAAAATTATATTATCGCCCTTATTATATATATATATACCGATTGAACAGTCATCGTCCGACTTCCATGTTATCTATACCATGCATGATAGTAGGTGCAAGTTGTTTTATGTATTATTATTTATTACCTTTATAATTTTATATATATTCTTGTTTTAATTAATGTAAAACAAATAAATATCTGTCACCGAGAAGTATTATGTGTTTCAATTTAGATATTTTGTGATGATCTTTGATGAATAAAATTAGAATGTAAGATTTATAAAGAAAATTTAAAAAAGTAATTTTTAGTGAAATATTAATTTATTCGTTAAAACTTGGAATTATGTAATTATGAATTGTGAATATTAAATATTATATATTATATATATATTAATATATATTATTACTAAATAGCATATTAAAACGCCATAAGGCATAATATGAATACATACATATAAAGTATATATATTTAACATAAAATTACTAATCTAATTTTATTATTTGTATTTAATATATAAATATATAATATATATTTATATAAATCTGTTTAATTACATATATATTTTACGTTTTATTTCCACTTCTATAATGTTCCATACATAATTCCATTAATGATTGTATAGATTGAAATTTGTAGATACAATTTAATTATAAAAATATTACAAAAAATGGATGTGTACCATTCATAATGTAATCAATACGAGCGTATCCGAATTGGATCCCAGATAATATTTATGACAAAAATAGATGGTGACCATTGAATTGGCTCCCAAAATTAGGATAGGTATCTAATCGCGAACTGAATTGGCTCCTGATAATATATTTTCAACAAGTGGTTTTCATAATAAAAAAGTTCAAAAAGTACGTGATTTTAATTAAAATAACTTCAACTATACATTAAAATAATTTAAAATACAAATAGTCCATCAAAATTGATAGTAAAAATAAAAATGCATGCATAAAAAAATATTCAATGACCTGCACTGTTTTAATATTATTTAGTATAGGTTTTATTAATACGTCTATGGTTGTGACCATTTAATGCGTTATCGGATTAACGATAATTTCAAGACTAATCGGCACTGTGTCACTAAAAATATTACAGTCACGTACTTTTTCAACTTTTATATTTTTTATGTAGAGTTGATTTTTTTTTCAAACAATTTTGATAACCAATGGATTTATAAAATAAATGTGTAGGGAGCAAACTCAATACATAAATCTTGGGAGCCAATAAAATATGTAAAAATGACGATTACCTGATTCAGGGAGCCATTTCAATAGCTCCGAGATAAACAACTAATTGGTCCTATTATAAAAATAATAACATACGAGTTCGTCCGAATATATATATAAATCATTTATCATATCGATTACTCGTATATCATAACTAGATTTGAGTTTGTAAAAGCTCTATAATTTAAATTTTTACCAATTGTGTAAATTTTTAATTCTTTTAATCATTTTATTTATTTATTTACAATAAAACAGAATTCTAATTATCAATTAATAATTATACAGGTTAATTAATAATTATACAAGTATGCCATACAGGGATGGAACTAGGAATTTTTATGCCCAGGGAAATTTTATTCCCCGGGGAAAATGTTAAAATTACGCCCTAACATAGTCCAATAATCAAATACTCTTTGAGAATTTTTTTCTAACAATTAATATACAATCACACTTGAATTTTAACCTAAATCAGGGGCGTACTTAGACTTACTTCTGGGGGGAGGGAGGGCGACTTAAATTTTTTCTTTAATTCAGGCTCAAAATTTACAAGTAAAATTTTTGGTAATATTTATATCAGGTGAATCCTCAATATGTGTTTTATTTTATTTTTTTTTTTTAATCTAATGCCGGATCCACTTAGAATGGTCTTTTGTGTAGTTTCTTTTTAATACCAATCTGTGTTTTGAAAGTGTCGCTTGTGTTTTATCTAATTTTTCATTAAGTATGGACTGGGTCTTCAATCAAAATAATATATATTATTTATCGTTATGGGACATATAAACGTTATAAGCAATTGAGCATTTAACGCTATAAATAATTTAAACGTTAATCAATTTAAGCGTTTAAACGTTATACAAATTTAAACTTTTAAAAAATTTTCCTTTTTGCGTTATTTAAATTAGTGTAAAATTTGAAACGTTTTCTAATGTAGTAAAACTATAAAATAAATCATAATTTTTGTTTCTTAATAAAATACTCATTACTTATATAAAAATTGTCTTGGTCTGAAAATTCTTGATGAGGGCAATTGCCCCCATCGCCCCCCCCCCTCCCTCAAATACGCCACTGACCTAAATCAGTATTTAACAAAGTTAAAAATATTAAATCAATTGTTAATAATTACAAAAGTGACAACCTCTAAAATGTTATACTCGGGAATAAATCCCCGCGGGGATGGATGCAGAAAAAAATTTCGGAGGGGGTTTTGAAAAAATAAGAATAATTACCGTCAGGCCCGTATTTAGAAATTTGGCACCCCCGGGTATCTTATTTTATTAGCCCCCCCCCCAAAAAAAAAATAATAATAATATAACACATATTATTTCGTCCATAATCCAGATTCTTTAGTATTAAAAAATAACTTATAAATTAAAATCGTTTAATACTTTTTTTAATTAACAAATTAAACAAATTATAACATAATAAAACATACTATTTTCTTTTTTTTATTGTTTTATTTTTTTTTCATTAGGTAGATCATTTCTAAAATTAATTTTGCTAAAATGTTTTGCCGCCCCTGGACATGTGCCTACCCTTGTCCCCTCTAAATACGAGCCTGATTACCGTTAAATAAATTACTATTGACTATAGTCGATACTATTACTATTGTCGATTGTTATCACATGACCATACAACACAAAATTTAGGGAAACACGTCAATCATAATGTACCATTGTAAATAATATTATATCAATTACGAATATTTACTTATTTTTACTTACTGATAATAAGCATTACTTACATACACGCATTATTTTTACGAAGTATTGCTATCATGGAATTTCAAAAATTTGAGTTTTAAGTACCAATACCTTTTAGAACGTTTGGAAAATTACAAATTATTACAAATTCACTTTTCTTAACAAAACATTTTTCTAGTATATTTTAATTGTATTTTGAACAATTCATTTTTTTTTTTAAGGTACATAAGGTAGGATAACTACGTTTGAAATTAATCATCCATTCATTTCTGGGAGGGGGGGTGAACATCCAAAATCCCTCCCTGCGTCCGCCACTGAATTCCCGTCTTCCCCCTAGTTCCACCCCTGATGCCATATATTAGAAATTAAAAAAAATAAATATACCTGTGTTCTAATTTATAGGTAACTGAGAGTCCTAAGTCTGTAAAAATGAAAAGCGAAATTTTTTTTTGTATGGACCCAACTAGAGTAGTACTTGTAATATCATGGGACTCAACTAGTAAACACTGATCGTTACTACTAATCATTAACATATTGTTAGTAAATAATATTATTTTTTTGTAAGCTTTATTGTTATTAGTTTAATTGTATGTAGTTTTGTACAATAATGGCTTAAATATTATTAAACTAAAATGTTTAAATAGGTACCTATTATATTTATATACATTTTGTTAATCATATTCTTAAGATTTATAAGTGCGCCAATCATTTTATAATAATTTAAAAGATGATCAATGCCAAAACAACCTTAACAAAATTATAATTATGAATTTAGGAATTCTAATTTAAAAAGCCACTAAGACACGGATCGAGTTTTGTTATTTTTTTTTTTCCTCGTACATGAAACTATAGAAAGCGAGCTTACTAGATAATGTGACATGATTCAAACTTTGTGTAAATCACTATATACGATAAACCATGAACATATTGAT